GGCACCATCTGGGGGAATCAAGTGGGTTTTCCAGAAGAAAGACAAAAATAATAAGCCAGACTTCCACAGGCCACAGGGGCTGTGCATCTCCAAGTGTGGCAGTAACACACCCCTCATACAGCCTTCACTATCTCCTCCTGCAAGCTCCCATCCTCCATGCGCCAGGACAGCTGTGGACACTGGGGATAATGCCTGTGACCACAGCCCTAAAAATCAGGTGTTGGTGTGTGTCCCTGCCTTGCGAAGGGGGAAATAGCTTGATTAATCTTTTGTGGAGCCTTGTGAATCTCTGCCTAAAGAGATAACACAATTTTAGAAATAATAGTCTACACAAATTTAAAGTGAAGGTGTTACTTCCTCTCTTATGGAAACAGCCTTGCCCTTTCTTCTCCTCCACCGGCTCTCCCTGAAGGCCTTGTTTCAGTAAGTGTTCTCAAGTTGAATTTAAGTGTATTCTTTGTGCCTGTGTGTGTGTGTGTGTGTGTGTGTGTGTATGTGTGTGTGTATGCGCATGTTAGTGGGGGGGTACATCATGCACATGTGTTCGGATACATGTGGAGGCCCGAGGCTCAGGTATCATTCCTCCCTGGTGCACAGTTATTATTTTGCTTTTTTTTTTTTTTTTTGAGACAGGGTCTCCTTGTAGTCCCTAGCCTGGACCCCCCTATGTAGAGCAGACTGGCCTTGATCTCATAGAAATCTGTCTGCCTCTGCCTCCTGAGTGCTGGGATTAAAGGTGTGCACCACAACAGCTATTTTACTTTCTTGAGATAGGGTCTCTCACTAGCCTGAAACCCACCAAGTAGGTTAGACTAGATTGCTAGCAGGCCCCAGGGACCTGCTTGTCTTCACCTCTCCAGCACTGAGATTACAAACAGGTGCTTGACTTTTTTACTTAGGCTCTGAGAATTAAATCCAAATCATTTACTGACTGAGCCATCTCCCCAGCCCTCAGAGTATTCTTTTTAAAAAATCTACTTTAATTTTCAGAAAAAATGTAGGTTTACAAAATAAAAATAGTAAGAAGAACATTTGCCCCTCCCCCCAGCTTCCCACTGTCAACACTCCATATTGGAGCAGTGCACATTTTACTAACCGGTGTATGCATTGCCATCCCAAGACCATGAAGTCACTCCTGCTCTGTCCAGCCTGTGGGTTTGGTCAGATCTGTAATGATGTATACCCACTGTTATAGTATCACACTAAACAGTTTCACCACTCTGAAAGTCCTCTGTGCTCCACCTGCTCATTACCTCCTTCTTCCCTCCCCCAACCCCTGGCAGCCATCCATCTTTTCTCTGTCTCCATCCATGCATTCACATTTTCAGAATGCCATATGCTTGACTCATAATAAAGTATGGACTTTTCATACTGACCTCTCTGACTTAGTAATGCAAAGATAAGCTTCTTCCATGTTTTCTTGTGGCTTTGGCTCCTTTCTTTTTCAGTGCTGAATTTTATTCCACTAAATGGATGTACCACAGTTTACTTGCTACTAGGGGATACCTTAGTTGCTTCCAAGTTTAGAAATTTTGAATAAGTCTAGTATAAATACCTGTGTGCAGATTTTTCGGTGGATATACATTTTCAGTTTCTTTGGCAAAATACTATGGAGAGGGATTGCTGGATCATATAACAGTGTGCTTACTTTTAAAGAAACCACCAAAACCATCCTGTGTCTGTACCATCTGCATTCCCACAAGCAGTGTGACAGCAATCCTGTGGTTCCACATTGTCCAGCATTTGGTGTTATCAGTATTCTGGCTTTTGGCTGAAGTAGAATGCTTGGTAGTAGTGTCTCCTTGTTTGTTTACCATGAATGTCCCTGATGGAAAGTGATCTTGAAAATTTTGTGTTTGTGTGTGTGCTACATGCACATTGAGTGTGCACACGTGTGAAGGCCGGAGCAGTACATGAGGTGTCTTCCTCTGTTGCTCTCTACCTTATTGCATTGAGGCGGGTCTCGCATTGAACTAGAAGCTCACTGTTTCGGCTTGGCTGGCCAGTAAACTATCAGCAGGATCTGCCTATCTCCATGCCTACATGAAGGGGGCTCACAGGCATGTACAGCTATGTCTGGCTTTTTATAAGGGTACTGGGGTTGGAACTCAGGTCTGTATGCTTGCATAGCAAGTGCTCTTACTACTGAACCACCTTCCCTGCCCTGAAAATATTTTCATAAGCTTGCTTGCCATCTCTATGTCTTCTTTGAAGAGATGTCATCATTTCTTTAGACCATTTTTTTTCTCAAACAAGCCATTTATTTCCTCTTGCTCAGTTTTAACAGGTCTTTGTATTAGTTAAGAATCTTTTATCAGATTTTTACAAAGAATTTCTCCCAGTCTATTGGTTGTCTTTTCTATCTCCCAATGGTGTCTTTACACAGAACTGAAAGTTTTAAATTGATGAAGTCTAGGTTATCATCAATTCTTTCCTTCATAGACTACACTTTTGGTGTTTACCTAAAAAGTCATTGCTAAGTCCAAGCATTAAGTCCCAGAGCTTCTGACTGTTGCTCTCTCTAGAAGTCAGACCTTGCCCCCTGCAGTCTCTCCCCCCCTTTCTCTCTCTATCCCTCACCCAACCCCCATGTGCTATGGTGTGTCCCTTCCCCTTGTAGCGGCAGAACAAATTTGAATTATAGCTTATCTTTATCAGTGCCTTCCTGACTTTCGGCATGTATGTCAGTTTACATGGAGTCTTCCCTCTATTGTGTCTGAAACCTATAAGAGTGAGAAACTCCCATTGTCTTACAGAATTGAAGACACTTTCTCTCAAGACCCCACCACACTGTTTGTAGTACAATGCCTTATCTCTTCCCATACTCTCCCATCTTAGGGCTCCATCATGGCTGCCTATGGCTTTGGATCTGTAACTCCTAATGAAGCTTCTCTGAAGGGCACTTTGATGTCAGCTTCCTTTCTAGGAATATTCCGTTATTTCCTTTCTCTAATACCAAGATTGTGTACATTTTTTCCTACACTGTCTCTGAATAAAAATGGCTGGACTTAAGAGGGCCCTGAGCTGACTTCCAAAGGGGCTCATACTAGGTTGAGTAAACCCTAGGTAAACTTCAAATTCAAGCTAATATCTAACCCAGGAACTGTGAAAGCCCTCAACCCAGAGACCGTGTTATCTGGGAAAACAAATAGCCCCTCATGTCTCAAAACCTCTGAACCATGTCACCGATACTAACCCTACCCACCTCCCCTTTCCCAATCCCCCCACCCTTATAAGCAGCCCACCCACTGTGCCTGAGGGTGCAGTTTCAAATCCCACAGAGAAATTGTCCCCACCTTCGGTGTTCTTAATAAAGAACGCTCTGCTCCTAAGGTTGTCTCTCATCTTTCATTTTCACATTGCCCTAGTCAATCCTGATCTAACATTTCCTAACAGTATCCTAAGAGTTTTATGATTTTCTGTTTAATATACTTGAGTTAATTTTTGAATGGATATAATCAGATCTCTTTGAAGATATTATTTTGCGTGTAGGACTATCTCTTAGAAATGCTGTTGTTTTGATTGCATAACTTTTTCTCTTCTTAAAATTTAGTTTACTGAACTTGGTGGATCTCTTTGTGGGCTCCCTGTTTTGTCCCGTCTACATACCTGTCAGTTCTTCCACTGTTACCTTGCTGTGGCTCTGCGGTGGTCTCAAATTCAAGTAGTGACCATTTCCACATTTGTTCTTTTTAGGATTGTGTTGGCCTCTCTGGATCTTTTTCTTCTCCATATAAACTTCAGAGAAAGCTTGTTGATACCAACTACATAATTTGTAAAGACCGATTGAGATTGCATGGAATCCAGAGATCAAGTTGGAAATAACTAAGATCTTGACAGTATAAAGTCTTCCCATCCACAGACATGGAACATCTCTGAGTTCTCTGATCAGGCTTTTGTAGATTTCTTTGATAGATCTTATACATACTTTGCTAGATTTATACCCAAGTATTTTGTTGAATACCTAAATATTTAGTTTTTGAGGATGCTACTGGAATTGGCATTGTGGTTTAAATTTCAGATTCCATGTAGTCATTACTGGTATATAGGAAATTGGCTTTAAAATATTTATCTATTTATTTATTTATTGTGTGTGTGTGTGTGTGTGTGTGTGTGGTGTTGGGGGCACATGTGTAGAGATCAGAGGACAAGTCTGTGGAGTCTTTTTGTCCCCTTCCACCTTCACATGGGTTCCTTTTTTGTAATATTTTATTATTTTTATTTTGTGTGTTTGAGTGTATTGTCTGAATATATCTAAGTGTGCCTGTGTCATGCAATGCCCACAGAGGCCAGAAGAGGGCATTGGATCCCCTGGAACTGCAGTTAAGGACTGATGATTGCTAGCCACCATGTGGGTGCTGGGAACCAAACCTGGGTCCTCTGCAGAGCAACCAGTGCTCTTAACCGCTGAGCCATTTCTCCAGCCTCTTACATGGGTACTTGTGTGAATTCAGGTCACCGAGCTTGCAAGCAAGTACATTTACCTACTGAACTATCTCTCTGGGCTGTGATTGGTCTTTGTATACTAACTTGTAATCTTGGAGATTTACCATAATTGTATATTAGATCAAGGATGGTTTTCATTGTTGGTGTTTATCCGTATGTTTATCTAGATTGCTTTGCAGCAGTCTGAGGGGAAAAAAGTAGTTTTGTTTTCCTTCTTCGCCTGTATTTTATATATTTTCTTGTCTTCACTGGCCCCTGGACCCAGTATGGCCAAGGAGGGAGGGAATGAGGTAAGCAGGGTCCATGGGGCAGTGAACTGAAACATTCAAAGGCTCTGTCTCAGAAGGACAGATAGCGGTTGCCTGGGACCAGGATCTGAGCTGAAGTTACCACTGAAGCACGGAGAGCCTGCAGGTCCAGGAAGGCTGTTCCTCCTCTTGCCCCTTGCCCTTCTGGGCCAAGTCAGATGCTACAGGTAATCCTGACTATACAGAATGTTCTTTCTTGACTGCTTCTGAGATATGCCTGACCTCCCCTTTACTTCATCTTCACAGATCCGGACGAAAGACAGGGTCTTTGACAGCATCAGCCACCTCATCAACTACCACCTTGAGAGCAGCCTGCCCATCATCTCTGCTGGGAGTGAGCTCTGCCTCCAGCAGCCAGTGAAGAGGAAACACTGAGCTGCTCTGGACTCTCCTGATGCCTTGTGCCAGGTCAGGAGGACCTGGGCTCCCCTGGTCTCAGCCCATGGGACCTGGGCAGCTGTCTGTGGGCTCAGCACCTTCCTCAAAAGATCCCAAAAGGAAGATTTCCTCCAAGTTTCATAAACTTGTACTACAAGTCTCAGACACATATTTGAGATGTATATACCTATACATCCTGTACAAATGGCCCTTATATTTATATTTTTTAAGACTAAGAAAGATGTAAGACTAATGCTCTATGCTGTATGTTTTTAGTGAGAGACAAGTTTGTAGTTGTTCAGGCAAAAAATTTAACTCAACTGACCTATTCTACTGGGAAATTTTGCTAGCAAGGTGTAACCTGCAGTTTTATACAATAAGCACAATACAAGGGGAATGGCGGTGAGCCTGAAGCTCTGCAGAAAACATGAAATTGTGGTAGTCCTAAACAATATCTTACAGTGTATTTAATACTCTGTGCAAGTGCGGGCTCTGGGCTGGGACTCTGCTGGCGGATGGGGTTGACGTCTCCAGCTCTGACTTGCCAGGCACTGCCTCCCATGCCCCTGTATCATATGCTGTGTGAATGGGTTTTCCACTACTTGGTGACCTGCTGAGCTCCACTGCAGAACAGGAGCACTCCAGCCCCTCCGGGTCAGGATGAACATAGTCACCTGCCACGCTTGACCCCAATAATGTGTGTGAATTCATTTGAGGCCAACTACGGCACAAAATAAGGCTCATCAGTCAATATTTTTGCTTGACAAATGCCTCCTTTATCTTCATCAATATAATGATGAAACAGAATGTGTCTGTGGAAGGCGGGATGGGCTTGTTCCTGGTCTGTATGTCCTTCAAGCCAGTGTATTGGTTATAGGAAGCTTCTGATAACATGTTCCCCCACATGCCTCTTGTATTCAGTAGAACAAAACACATGCATAAAAGCCTTGCAAAAGTGCGTGCCAATCTCTGCACAGAATTGAGCCTCAGAGACACACCTACCAGCCTCTTGGGTCTGTGTGTGTTTGGCACCAGCTGGAGTGAAGGATGGTGAACCACCTTGCTGGCCCCCTCTACATTTTCCCAGTAGCTCCACAGAAAGGGCAAAGTGTCCCATGACCCTCTGCCTTGACCCTTTTCCTTCAGATTGGAAGCTGTCATTTCATGATGATTTTGTGTTTTGAGGTTGGCAATGTTATGACTTTTAAAACTTTGGGCTTTGGTCACCCTATAGCTTAGCAGATGTTGTCCTTTAAGACACAGAAAGATGATGCATTTGTTGGTTGATATCTCCTCATAGGCTGCAACCTGGGCTCTGGTCCTAATGAGACCCCCATGCATATGGCACACCTGGCCAGTGGAACAGAAGAACTCTGTATATGTTTACAGTTGGATAATGATAAATTATATGCTTTTAATGGGAATTAAGGGGAGACTTAAACATCAGATGAGTAAGGCTCCAGTGCTGAGGTGTCAGCCCTATTTTGGTCTGGGGGTATGGCTGGGTGGGAGGAGAGCGTGGAGCTAGTGGATAGGTGTGGGATGATCCCATGTTTCATATATGGAGACTTCTTTACAGTTTTTGCGCTTGGAAGGCCCACTGAATCCAAGCTGGCAGTGGTCAGTCTTCTAGAATGTTTTAGAATTAGAATCCTGCTCACCCCGCTACTTCCTGATTGACGTTGGTTATAGACACAGCGTGGATACATCCTGGGGCTGAGTAGACTTGCTGGTAGCCCCTGGCTCAGACTCTGTCCTATGACCAGGTAGGTTTATGGGTGACCCCAAGAGGCACCCTGCACTCTTGTCCCCCAGGAGGCTATGCCCTGTGCACACACATATGGGACTGCTGCTCCTGTGTGTGAATGGATACTACACACAAAAACCCATGGAATCACCTTATTTCACCATTCTTGAATTCCCCACTTGTGCAAGGCTGGAAAGCTGATGTTCAGGAGGCTAGAAAAGCAGAAAACAAAAGTTGTGTTCCATGAACACAGCAGCATTTGCTCTGCTTTGATTTCTTCTCCAGGAGAGTTAGAAAGCAGTGTAGCAGCTGTCTTCCCTGAATCCAGGATATATGTGGTATTAAAGTATTAGGGTCAGTTTTTTTCTTTTCACTATTAATTTAAAATATGTAATTTGGGGGCTGGAGAAATGGATGACTCAGCAGTTCAGAGCACTGACTGCTCTTGCAGAGGGCCTGGGTTTGAATCCCAGCACCCACGTGGTGGCTAACAACAATTTATAACTTCAGTTCCAGGGGATCCGATGCCCTCTTCTGGCCTCCACAGGTATTGCACAACATAGGTGCACTTATATACACGCAGGGAACACACTCATACACATAAAATAAAAATAAGAAAATATTAAAATATGTAATTTTGATCCCAGATCACAGGACTAGTTGCACTGTATGTGTGCTGAATGCATAGTCTGACACTGGTTTTTACCCACAGAACAGATTCCTGAGTCAAACAGACAGTAGCCCAGTTCTGACGTCTATTCCCTTCCATTTGTGAAGTGTGTTAGAGCACACACACAGGTTTACCATCTCTTCCTCCAGGTACTGTGTGTGTGATGGGGCATTTCCTTGAACCTCACTCACTCATGGGGAAACTAAGGCTCACTCCAGGTCACATTGTCAGCTGATAGCAGAGCTGTTCTGCTCACTCAGCATTTCCTGTGCACAGCTGTGCGCTAGCCTACATTTTGAGCCCAAGGTTTAAAGGCAAGTCCAACGGAGTCTCCTCCCCAAGCTTGGGCTCTTCTTCCCCTGGTTTCCAGCCTGCATCTTCCTGGGTCAGTCAGGGCTACCAAGTAGCAACTGCAGGCAGAACAGCACTGCCCTGTGCATTTGGGGGCTCTGACTCCCAAGGCACAGAGGCTGAGTCTAAGCCAGGCAATCTTGGGGCTGTGGACAGTGCCTGGGTCCTGTGCCCCTTTGTATGGGCACCCTGCCACTCTACCCAGAACTATGTATCAGTCGGTTTTGCAAGATGAAGCTCCGCAGTCTTAAACAGCCCCTGACTACTCTTACGCAGTGGCCCTGAAGACTTTGCACAATCCCTACCCTTACTTTCCTGGAAGAATGAGCTGTGCTTCAAATAACCTCTTGGACCTCTCATTGTGGGGCTGCTCATTGTGGTCTAAGTTGACTTTGATTTTTGGACATCTACCTGTAGCATGAGGTGAACAGTCTGTTGCAGTCAGATGACTCAATCATCAATCTATGCCTAGGTTACCATGGGAACCCTTCATGCTCAGCCTTCATGAATAGCTTTCTGTTGCAGGCTATCTCAGATGGTGGACAGATGAGATGGACTGATGTCAAGTGGTTGCCACACATGGAAACCTTGAGGGTCTCCTGACAACAGAGGGAATTATAGGTAATTTTGGTTGAAGAGAATGATAAGCCATGAATGGAGGTAAAGGCCTAGATTAGAATGGAGAGAAGGACCAGGGAGGAGTGAACCTCAAAGAGCCCAAGCTTTAGGATCACAGTCACTGTGTGCCCAGGCCCAGGCCCAGGCCCATCCTGTGGTCCTGAAGATGCCCCCAGCTCCCCCAGTTGTGGGAAGATTTTCCCACAACAGCATCAGACACCTGGGCATGGGCTTTGGAGTGGACAACCTGTTCTCATTTCTATATGAGGATCAGTGCCACACCCTCATCCAGGAATGAGTTGAGCAGAAATCCAACTTCCCTGGGACAGTAACTGCAGCAGTACAACCTCTGCGCAGCTCAGCCCCAGCACAACCAGCATAATGTGGCCTTGAGCTGGCTGATGGGTTCCCTGAGCCAAGACTTGCACCACACCCAAGAATGCCCCAAGTTCTCACCCCAGAAAGCATTTCACATGAATATGTGAAATGCATGAAAAGGGACTTTCTAAGATTCTTCATTCATAAAGTACATGTTGGCTCTCCCCCACAGGCCCAAGTGACATGCCATCTGTGAACAGCATCTGTGGATTTCTGAAAGCCAGGTTAGAAGTATAGGAAGACTGTGGGAAGATTTCAAAAGAGAACAAATGCCCACACAAATCCTTGCCATGAGTTTCAGTGTGGCACAGAAAATGTTTTCAAAAAAACATTAGATGAACCCCACTCCTGGAACATTTTGCAAACCTAGAGCTCTTTGCTCTGTGTGGAATAACAGGATGTTCCTAAAATAGTTCAGCTGGAGGGGCTCCTGTTTTTCAGATGAGGAAACTAGAGCCAGGTGGAGGTTGGCAAAGGTCAGTGGCTGGATCTAGGAAAGAATGCAGTACCTACTAAGGTCCTTTGTAAAGCTCAAATATATAGGCCACCCCATGAAAATGGCAAGCAGTGCTTCTCTCCTCAGACTGCACATTTTTGTGAACCTCAAAACATATGAAGGCCTGAGTCACTTGGATGGGAGAGTTGGGGCATGTGATTCCTGTCTTAGCTGGAGTTCCTCCAGAAGCTGACTCTGGAGGGGACTTGGGTGCATACAGCTTTTTAGGAAATGATCCCAGGAGTTGGTAGGGAGGTAGCTGATAAGGAGGGGTTGAATTGCTAAGCAGCTTTCTGCCATGTGGATAGCTGCATGCCCACCCTGTGCAGAGCCTTGGGAGCAGACATGAACATACCTCTGAAGTAGCCCGCTGAGAGGGGCAGGGTGAGGAGCCTTCTCCACCACACCCAGCATGTGTGGAAGGTTATTTCCAGTGATTTCTGTCCAACCCTGTGTACACCTATGCACAATGTGCAAGCTGGGAAGTTCTGGGGCAGAGACAGTGTCCACAATAAACAGTCCTGGAGCGGAAGGCAGATATCAAAGCCCACCCAGTTGGATAGTTCACACGTCTATTTCTGGGCTCTGCCCCTTGAGCTCCTGACTCAGTGGGCCTGGAGTGAGGATATCATGCTTGCATTTCACAGTTTAAGGAGACACTGATGTGGCCTGGGGACTCTTGACTTTGGTTTTGGCTGGTGAGAGTCTCCAGCCCCTCCTTGACTCTTGCTAGTGGCCTCCCTCTCCTTTTCTGATGAAGTTTTCATGTCACTTCATGTCATAGATCCCAGGTTCATACTGTGCATTTAAAAGTGGAGGATTAATAAGCTCTAACAACTCTCTGCAACTGTGGCTGGCAGATAAAATGCCATCTGCCAGATGCAATTTATTTATAATGGGGTTTATATACATTTATAAGTTTGCAAGCAACAAACGCACAGTTTTAAAACTGGCACATTTTATAGCAGCCAGAAAAAATTTACCACTTTATACCAATACTTGTGACTGTGAACTGCATGTGCATATGAACACACATACACTTCCTTGCATTAAAACCAAATGCACACACAGGTCAGTTCTGTGATAGGTGCCTGGGGCCTCCTGGGGGTTTTCTTACAAAGACAAGTAGATGTTGAACAGGTGTCAAGGGCTTGGGGATTAACAGGCCCAAGGCACCCACCGACACAGGACCAAGGCGAGGCTCCCAACATGGGTGCTATGGGGTGTGAGACCACAGCACAAAAAGAAGTAGAATGGGTCACAAGGAGAGTGGGGAGGGGTGTCACTGTGTGTCATGACAGGAGAAAAAGGCCGAGCAAGCTGAGGGTGGTGGCCATGGCGCATTCCAGTACTTGGGAGGTAAAGGCAGGAGGATCAGGAGCTCAAGGCCAGCCTAGGCTACCTGAGGCCATGTCTCAATAAAACAAAACAGAAGCATGGGGAGCAGCCAGCAGAAGACAAGGGTAGGATGCAGCAGACTATGGATTAAAAGAAAAAGCACTGCATGTCCCTGGGCACCTTTGTGTACCAATGGAGGCAGTCTCCTTGGAGGCGAGCTCAGGAGCATGGCCATGTTTCCTGGTTGAGCTACACAGTACAACCCTGTAGCTTTGCTTGCCAGCCTTCCTAGCCACATTTGTGCATTATGATGGCCTGTGTAGCAGGCCCTGTTTATGGGACAGTGAAGTAGAGGCTGGGTGTATCTGCCCCAGTTTATCGTGTAGTAGAAACACTGCCCCCAACACACACATGGGAGAAGCCTGACTGTGCTGGTGTGCCCATGTTCAACAGTACCAACAAGGGTCTGGCTCCCTGAGTGAGCTGGGGACGCTGAGGGTTTGCACCATAGGTAGCGCTGTAGAGGAGCAAGGCAGAAAGTGATGCTGGGAGGTGGGCGGGGAGCAGCCCCCAGCCTCCCTTTCCTTGCCCTCCTGGCCCAGATGCCCTTGGTAGGTGAATCCCTAAGACCGCCACGTGTACTTGCTTCTTCCCCAGGGATGAAGAGAAACCATGGACAATGAAAACCTAACAGCTTTATGTACCCACTGGAGATAGAGGACTATGCCTGTGGGTTGGGGAAAGCACCTGCAGCTTGAACTGTTGAGGTACTGAATTCATACTGGAGCAGAAACTTTTACCACAACCAAAGTCAGTCACATGAAATCAAGCAACAACTCACAAGGCGGAGAAAAGGGGAAGAACCAGCTCGGGACACTGAGTTTCTTTCTTTTTTGTAACAGCTATGTGTGAGTTGCCAGTGGAATGTTCTTTATTTTTCAATATAACTTGTTTCAGAGTATTGTGGAATTACGTGAATGTTTCTTTGTATTCAGAATTAAACATTTGGTGTTTAAAATCCCAAGATTAGGAGACAGCTCTGTGTAAATGAAGTGTGTAACAAGGTACTATTCTTCAAAAGCATTTAGGTGGCCAATTCCATATCATGATAGATGACTATTTGAATTTTTTATTTCCATTAACTTCTGTGAGACAAAAACACCTACTGTAACGGCAGTCTGTCTGAGTGCATGGCCAGTCCACCCCTTTCTACTTTGATATAGGCGTGGGATTGGCCTCCTAAGTCATCCATGTGAGGAGCAGAAATACAAAACCAACTTCAAGTTTTCTAATATTTTTCTACAGAAAATGATAAAACCTATGTTATTTGGTGAACACTGTGGAGATCCCAAGATACAACAGGTGATGGTAATTAGCTTGGACGTCCTCACCTCCAGGGACTCCTCTTTTGGGAAGTTGTGAGACTCCCAGCCCCATACCCTTCACCATGGGTCTGGCACACTTCTGCTTCCAGAACATGCAGGTGGAGGTAGCGCATAGCATCCTTCCCACCCTGAGACCTGGGGATGGGGGATAACATGCCAACTACTCTAGATAATGCTGTTCTTGTTGTAACTGGTTATTGGACCATGTGCCTTTATAATCAGGACAGTCATCTTCACATTTCTGACTCCATAGCAACCCCTTTGGACCTCTGACTTAGATACTAAAAACATTTGGATGTTGAGGTTTTTGCCCTTGTCCACACAATTTCACAAGCATGGGACAGGCAATGTAAGTAGACATTTTCTATGAAACGCACCTTGTTATATTTCTGTGAACAGCTCTTTCCCAGCACAGAATAACCATGGCTCAAAGGTTGAGAGAAGCAACCATTTTTAAATAGTGAATTGTTTCAGTGACTATAGATGTAAGTCTGCTGGCAATAAAGGCTATTGTGAAAAGTATCTCCCATTTGGATGATGGCTCTTATGTATTGTGTGTGTTTGTGTTTGTGTGTGTGTGTGTGTGTGTGTGTGTGTGTGTGTGTGTGTGTGGTATGGTGTGTGTTCACATGCACATCACAGCCTGAGTATGGAATTCAGAGGACAACTTGTGGGAGTTGGTTCTGTCCTTTTACCATGTATGTTCCGGGGATCAAACTCAGGTCACTAGGCTTGGTAGCAAGCACCCTTACCCACTGAGCCATCTCACCAGCTCTGGATGATGGATCTTGTACTGAGACACAAAAGACAGGAAGGAAGTTCAAAACTTTTCTCTAAAACATGAGTGTTCATTTTTCCTCAGAAGGAAAAATGACAGCTTAGCAAAAACACTTCTAGAAGTTTGCTAACTTTGTGATCTGGTGCCTAGTTGGCCTTGGACAGTATCAGAGGTGCCAGGCCTCAGGAAGTCTGCAACCCTTGTTTGCATTGGGGGCTGTTTACTATAACTTGTAATAATTCTTGCCACCAGAACATTTATGCCAGGCATGATTCCACTTTACATAGGACACAGATCAGGTGCTACAGCTTAACTGTTTATAAGGTAGAAAACACGCAGGGCTGGTGCTGACTCTCTCACTCCTCTTGCATAAACACTGGCCAATGAAACAGAGCCTGATGCTCTGTTGGACTCTATTCTTACTGTCATAGCTTTTATAATTTCTACCAAATGGCTGTTATCCTTCCACAAAACAGTAGGATCATGGCTGGAGAGATGGCTTAGTGGGTACAGTATTCACTATGGAAGCATGAGGTCCCGAGCTTGGGTCCTCCACACCTATGGAAAAGCCACACATGGTGGTGCCCATTTGCATCCCCAGCACCAGGGAAAGGGGGGATGAAGACAGACCCTGGGGGCTTTCTGGCTAGGCAGTCTGGCCATCACAGGCAGCTCCAGGTGCAGAGAGAGACTCTTTCTCAAAAAATAAGGTGAAGAACAATAGAGAAAGATACCGACATCAACCTCTGGCCTCCACCCCTGCATGAACAGGCATACACATGTGCATACACTCATGTGCACACACACCTCACAGATACACCCACCCACCACCACTACCACCATCAACAAAAGAATAGGTACCAAAACCAGTGTCAATAGCAACCAAAATTCCAAAGCTCCATTCCAACACCATCTGTGACAGTGGGGAGAGCTAAGGAGACAGGGTGATTTGGGGTTCTAAATGTACTTTATTCCCAAAATGCTATGAGATCCAGGTACCAGAGGAGAAGAAGACCACCCTACTGCACACTCTAGGAAGGCCTGGTGAAACCATAACACAATCCACCACACAGACTTTCAAGGATGGGTTTATATGAAGGCTTTGGTTTTATTTATTGTTAACAAATATATACTGAAAATAGTAAAGGTTACGAACCACTTTGGCATAGGATCCCAGGTTCTTTGTGGTGTTAGGTCACTAGTTTCTAATCTTCAGGGTGAGAGTATTGACAGGTCAACTTCTAACTGATGTTCAGGAGCTGGCTAGCTCATAAGGAAAGTGCACATGGTCCGCACAGGGGATCAACTAGTTCACATTTGTCAAATGAGCATGATTTCTTTTTTAGTGTATTTTTTATTCCGATGGCTTGAAAGTCTGTATCGTGCTACAAATGGAGTCTCTTCCTAGTGGGAAGGGTGGCCATGGCTCTCTAGAAGGGCTGCTGATGGAAAGCAGACACTGGAGGATGTCAAAAAGTCAGGGTCATAGGCAATGTGTTATTAGTGGCCCAGATCTATGGCCCCAAAGCAACTCACTGTGAAAGACCACATTCTCAAGCCCCTTTACTTTCCACCTACCCTCCCCCATGCACTCTGTTTTGTTGTTTTCTCAACCTGGCACCTTCTTGCTTCCCTTTCCTAGAAATGCCTTGGGTCTTCTCAACACTGTGCGACAAGAGAATAAGCCATTTTTTACAGTGACATAAAGAACGAAGCAGAAAAATACCCCAGTGGGGCATCTTGGCAATGCGTTGTATCCCATCAGGAGAGGCACTCAGGAAAGTCTTTGGCCAGTCCATGGTTACTTGGGACCCACAGAAAGGTCTCTAAGCACAAACAGGTGGCACCAGGCAGTAACCAAGAGCAAAATTCTCCTCAAAAAACACCCACTGGCGTGGAAGGACTGCTCTTTCAGGTGTTAGTAAGGCAACAGTTTTTGTGGTTCTAATAAACTTCCGGGGACTCTGACATGAGATCCCCCAAGTAAGTGTCCCTTTGAGGGTTGCTCTTGGTCTAATTTTCAGGAAGAGCCCAGCATACCTGCAGCATATGGGTTAGCGCCCCACACCTCACATACATCCACTTTCCATTTGTGTGTCCAGTGGGTGGAGTCCTTTGAGGATGGGGCTGTTCAGAGATGTCTTCTGAACACTTTCTCTACAGAGTGAACAGAGGAATGCAGGTTCAAGTGACAGCAGGTAGATAATACATTAAGAGAACGATGGTGGTTCTCTCTGAAGAATGCATCAACAGCCATATCACATCTCCTAGCCTGGCAGCTAAAGTCCTCTCACTAAGTGGTCCTGGTTGGTGTCTACCTTGAGGGAGCTAGGAAGCTTTGCTGATGACCCCAGCTCCTTGGTGGTGACAGCATAGGGGACGATTGGTGTTGTGCCAATTTCTATACAGAATCGAATTTGACATACAGTCGAAGTGCTGGCTTGTAAAACTCACCATTGCAAACTCCCTGCGTGAAAAGGCCATGACCCTGGTGCCTTGGAGGGGTGACCCAGGTTGGAGGTACCCTTGCCTCTCCTTATGGGCTGGACTCTTTGATGGTCTCCAGGGTTCTGGGAGATCTTGGCTAGCTTTTCTATGTTTTTTTTAGAAACATCTAAATTATCACATAATTTGGTTTTCAGATATGCTTAAGTTTATGAGGAGACACACAGAGAAAGGGGCACGGAATATAAGTGTTGGACACACATTTGGGCTGGCCTTGGATGAGCCTTTTGTGAATAAAGGGCTTTAAAACTTCTTATTTCTACCAGATACCACATCAATCCAAGGCGACTGGGAGTGGCACATTGGCCTACTCACACTGTGACCTTGAAGCTGGCTCAGCAGTGGGAGTACATCTATAGAACTGGGTTACATATGGTGTGGAGAACTGCAACTTCGTATGGCCTCCACCTGGGAAAACCTAGTATGTACATCCTATGAAACACAGAAATGGACAAATACATACATGAACACCCATCCTATGCACAATAAATGTAGTGTGAAAATAGGCCATCTGGTGGCGCACTGTGCGTGGCGCATCACCACCTGAGCTCCCAGAAGCCCGGGGAAAGTGGCATCCTGAAGGTGGCAGATGATGTTAGCAGATGACATGGGTAGATGGCGTCAGCAGCTTGGTACATTCAGGCAGATGGAGCCTGCAACAGATAAGGCACATCCATGTCCTGGTTGAAATGCCTTGGTGATTCCTGGGACCCCTGATTCAGGAGCTGCCCACAGTGTCTGGGCACATCAAGCAGACATCCAAGTCAAGATCTTTAAAGGCCCAGGCGGAAGGAACACGTGCAATAAATAGGTGTGGCTGTAGAGCTGGCCTGGTGGGGACGTTCACTTGCAAAGGAGCCCATTCTGAAGTGTTATGTTTCTGTCAGTGATGCAGGAAGAGGCCACCACATGGGGCAGGTCTTCCTTAATCTTTGGGGAGTGACTGCTGTTGTTACTGGAACTGGATTTGCTCCTGCTTGCGTCAAGAGCAGGCTGCATGGGTGAGGCCCGGGCCCCTTTGCCCTTGACCAGGCAGCCACACACCAGACCGAAGAAAGCACGCCTCATCTCCTTGCTGGCCAGGGTGTAGATGACAGGGTTCATAGCTGAGTTGAGGACAGCCAGCATGATGAACCACTGGCTCTTGAACAGGATGGAGCACTCCTTCACTCTACAGGCCACATCGATGAGAAAGAGGATGAAGAGCGGGGACCAGCAGGCGATGAACACGCTCACCACGATCACCACGGTTCGCAGAAGAGCCATGGACCGCTCAGAGTTATGGCTAGCCACTCGGCGGCTGCTCGACTTGACCAGGAAGTAGATACGCGCGTACAGGATAACTATGGTCACCAGGATGGCTGTGAAGATACTGATGAGGAAGGCGATGTACTTCTTAGAGTAGAGGGGAAGGATGGTGGAGCAGTCAGAGAAGTTCTCCAGGCAGTTCCAGCCCAGGATGGGCAGGGCGCCCAGCGAGAAGGCGATAAGCCAGCACATCCCTATCAGGAGGAACACGCGGTGCTTCTTGTTGGCATCGTAGGGCCTCATTTTGATCATGGTCAGGTGCCGTTCAATGGCAATGGCCAGTAAGCTGCAAGTGGAGGCCCCAAGGGCTACGAACATACTGCCCTCCCTGAGGAACCACACCGTGGGGGACAGGCTGAACGTCTTTCTGCCGGACATGAGAATGTTCACCTTGTAGGCTATGCCGGCCAGCAAGTCGCAAAGAGCCAAATTGCCAATGAAAAAGTACATGCGGTTGTGAAATTTATTGTTCTTCCAGATGGCAATCAAAACCATCAGGTTCTCCAAGACGATGAAGCTGCAAGTGATCAAGAAGAGGATGGTGGTGAGGGTGCCGCCTTCAGGGGGGTCCCGCAGCCGGCCAGCCAGCTTCCCCACGTAGTTGTAATGTGCCAGGAGAGTCTCATTCCCCAAGAAGGGCCGGTGGACCTGCGCAGGCGTGGTTGCCATGACTTCCTATGGACAGATGGTTACCTCAAAAGTCCACTAGAGGGCGCCCCAGGAACGTTCATTTCAGGGGATAGCTGGGAGCCTGGTGGTGACTTCAGCAAGGCATTCAGTCCTGGCTCCAGGAAGGGTGTTGAAAACAGGCTCTGTAGGGAAATCAAAGGAGAGGGAGCCTTGGATAAAGTGATTGCCACTGAATACCCGCGGTGTGGAAAATATTAACGCATTTGGAAGGCTGGTGAGCAGAGAGCGACTTTAAACACAGGCCAAGTTTCCAAGCGTTGAGGGAAACCAGGCAAGGCTGTTAAGGGCCGGGAGCAGCCAGAGAAGGAAATTCAACGTGTGAATAAGTGAATCACGTATCCAAGGCAAAAATTTCACATAAGCTTCCACTTGGAGATCTCCAGGCACCAGGAAATACTAACAATTGGTGCTCACCCACCATATGAGAGCTGGTAAACCACTATGCCCAGCCACAGAGATCAGATTTTCTCAGGATGAGAGAGGGGGAGGGAGGAAGGGAAGGAACGGGGAAGGGAGAAGAAAGGAAAGAAGGAAGGAACTGGAGTGAGAGGAGGAAAAGGAAGAGAGAAGGTGTGAGGAAAGGGAGGCGAAAGGGAGAAAAGAGAATTGGGACACAGTGGGAATGTCGGTGGGACTTCTGAGAGTTCCCTGATGAGTTCTGGAGCAGCATCATGGCAAGCACCCCACTTGCCCTACTTCCCCGATAGCTCCCCCTTGGGCCCGGATGGGCCTTTGGCCCACCTGGCAGAAAGCCCTTCCTACACAGCCATGGCAGGAAGAGCTGCCCCAGGCTGAGCAAGAACCCTGCGGCCAATGCACTGAGCAGAGCCTGGGGAGGAAGGAAGATGAACTGTCCTGGTGGGAGGTTCAAAGAGGAAAAGGGAGGAAAATTACGGGGACTTTGAGTGTGGCTTGAAATGCAGAGGCCTGTGCTGGGGCATTAATTAGTATAATGACATCCATGTACACAGATAGAATAAATACACTTGGAGATGTTGTGAGACAGGGAAAGTCCTGAATGCACAAACCAGGCCCTCAATGGGCCCTGAAATTTAAAACTATATATATATATATATGTATATAGTGTGTGTGTGTGTGTGTGTGTGTGTGTGTCCATTCATATATGTCACTCTACCTTATTTTCTGATGCAAACTCTCTCACTGAACCTGTAGTTCACCCATGAGGCTCTACTGGCTAACCATTGAGTTCCAAGGATCCTCCTTTCTTCCCTCAACCTCTAACACTAAGATTATAGAGGCATACCACCATGCCTGGTTTTTCACCTGGGTACTGGGGGTCTGAACTCAAGTCTTCATGCTTGCATGGCAAGTACCTTACTGACTGAGGCATCTCTCCAGCCCCATCCTCCACTGGACCTTGGATGCATTAACTTGGCCCATGGGTCATCTCTGTCTGCTTCCCAAGATACTGATGCTCTGCAGACCCAGCTATGAAGGCAGCTTTGGTTTCTATGCATTCACTATTTACTCTTTATTCATAGCTGATACATAATAATGCACATCCTTGTGGCTTTGTTATAGCAAACCGATCATGCATATCACGGGTAACAATCTAAGCAGAGTAATTAGCATTTCTATCTCTTTAAACATTTGCTACTTAAGTTGGGGGATTTGAAATTCCTGTCTTCCAATTCTTTATAAACATGTAATAAATTGTCCTGACCCAGAGCCACCTCACTGGATTGCAGAACACCAGAGCCTATTCCTTTATCTGTGACTAACCTCCTCTGTTCCTCCCAACTTTCCTTTCCAGACTCATTTATTTTAAATTAAAGTTATTTGAGTACTTAAATAGCTGATCAGGACCAAATGAAGTTCACTGAAAAGAGTTCACTACATGCACCTGTGAAGGTTTAAGCTCTAGTCCTAAATTTGGTTCTTAGAAAGGTGGACCATGCTAAACGGGTTTCCCTGAGCAGGTGTTCCTTCCTGGGTTCATCAAGGGCTTTTAGCTATCAGGGACTCCGCCCTAGGCTGTACACAGATCTGGGAGAAGGTGACTCCGAAGGGGCTCTGCACCTGTGTGACCCTCCAGGAGCAGTAGGTACTATGCAAGTTTTTCCCTTCCCCATCACTTTGGTGGTCTTAGAGTTGTTAACATCAGGAAGAGGTAGCTCATGGCTTCCTGGCAGGGACATCTTCTAAGTTCCTGGCCATTAGAAGTATCTGCTGTTCTAGAAGCCCTGGAAACTGTGTGAGCTGACGTCTACATTCTGGCTGGAACTGCCTTTGGCTTGGCCCAATTATGAGAACTACCGGGGATCATGAAGGGCTTGGGTCAAGTTCAGCTGAACACTAGGTTCTGGCAGAACCTTTATACTGCCCTCTTCTAACTTCAAAAAGGAAAGCAAGCCTGCTTTGAGGCTGGACTGCAGATGACAGACAGACGGGCCATCTGCTCAGGCTTCCCTGTCACTCTTGAGCCCACTCCATACCTAGCCTGGCTCCCCACTGGACCTCTGAGGGTTCTCCTCAGGCAGACAGTTCAGCAAGCAGCCCTCCATCAGCCCCTTCCACTCTCATCTTTCCTGTTGTTGTTTGAGGCAGAGGGTCTAATGTAGCCAAGGCAAACCTGGAACTTGCTATGCAGTCAAGGATGATCTTGAACTTCTGACTCTCCTGCCTCCACCTCCTAATTGCTAGGATTACAAGCACGAGCCACCACATTTGATTTTATATGGTGCTAGGGTTGATCTCAAAGCCTCTTGCACGCTAAGCAAGTATTCTACTAATTGAGCTACCTCTCCAGCTCACTCCTTCTGATTTTTATTTAAATCTGGTCTGTTAAACTCCAAGTCACATTCTGTTCATCCTGTGCATCTTCTGGGGTCCTGACAGCTCCCATGACCCATGGTCCCATGACCATTCTTCAAGGCTACCATCATGACATGGGGGCACGTGCCTCTTGCACGCTAAGCAAGTATTCTACTAATTGAGCTACCTCTCCAGCTCACTCCTTCTGATTTTTATTTAAATCTGGTCTGTTAAACTCCAAGTCACATTCTGTTCATCCTGTGCATCTTCTGGGGTCCCGACAGCTCCCATGACCCATGGTCCCATGACCATTCTTCAAGGCTACCATCATGACATGGGTGCACTTGCCTACATGCAGGCAATACACTTATACACATAAAATAAAAATAAAATATTTTTTAAAAAAAATCAAGCTGTCTTTTGAAGACTAGAAATTATTAGCAGATGGGATTTTCATGCAGCTATTGATGTATGGACACACTGCCTGTTTCTTCATGCTCTCGCCAATGTGCTGGTGTTCTCGTGGTCTTTCCCAGCAGCCTGTATATTAGCAGGTGCTTGGAGACCAGTGTTCTTTTTTTGGTCTTTTTGAGACAGGGTCTCCCTGTAGCCCCAGCTGTCCTGGAACTCACTATGTAGACCAGGCTGGCCTTGAACTCACAGAGATCCGCCTGCCTCTGCCTCCCGAGTGCTGGGATTAAAGGCATGTGCCACCACGCCCGGCCCAGTGTTCTTTTTTATCTAATTTTGCACTCTCTGTGACGGGGATGGACCATTCTTGTATCCATGGCTTTGATGTTCAATTAGCTTCTCCACTCAGGAGCATCTCATGGGTATGTCAGAGTAAAGGCAGCACATTCATTACTATTCTCATTACTTCAACAAAATAATTGACAAAAAACAACTTATGGAAGGAAGGACTATTTGGCTCATAGTTTGAGAATATAGTTCATCATGGAGGGGCTGGCACGGCAGCAGAAGTGTGAGGCAGCGGGCCATACTGCATCCACAGTCAGGAAGCAGAGAGACATGCCTGCTGGTGCTCAGCTGGCTTTCTGGTTTTTATTACTCTAGGACCCCAGTCCATCCAATGATGCTGTTGCTGTTCACATTTAAGGTATGTGTTCAAACTTCAATGAACCTAATGTGGAAAGAAGATTTGCCCAGAGTTTGTTTCCATGGTGATTCTAAGTGCCATCAGTTGACAGCCAAGATAAAATATCACCGGCAGGAAAGGTCATCATAACTGGGGCCCATTTTTATGTATGTGCTGTGGGAGCTGTCCTCTCCCACATACAGCTGTTATACAGCTGTATAGCTGTTACAACCATCCCACAATGTACTCCATCTCTGCATGGCTACCAGCTGTACCATCCAGGACACCACGGTGCCCAGGTTTGTCTCAAAATGCCCCTGAGCCACCTGCCTCACCATCAGGGGTTTCTGTCTCAGAAACCAGCTCAAGTGAAACTTCAGATACAGCTTGGAAGTTTCTCATTTTAGGTAAGATAAGTATAACTCAAACTGCTGTGTGTTGGGGGGCAGTACGTGTGTGTGCATACACATGCATATACATGTGAGGCCAGAGGTCAATCTCAGGTGCTGTTTCTCAGGTGCCCTTTGCCTTGTTTTTGTTTTTGTTTTGAGACGGGGTCTCTAACTGGCCTGGAGCTTGCCTAGTAAGCTAGGCTGTCTGGCCAGCAGGCCCCAGGGATCCTCCTGTCTCTGCTTCCCCAGCCCTGGGGTTAGGTGCACAAACCCTACACCCTGCCTTTTTACGTGAGTTCTGGGGCTGGAACTCAGGTACCCGTGCTTGCACTTTGCCTACTGAGCCAAGTACTTTGCCTACTGAGCCAGCCCCCAGCCCTCTGCCTGTTCTTGTGCTAACTCAGCTCTTCCACGTCTCACTTTCCCACCATAACTCCTCATACCACTTCATACACTCCACCGCTCCTTGAAAAGTCTGGGTTTTTGCCTACAGTGTGAGCAGAAGGGAAGCAAATCCCTCTGGAACAGCCAAATCTAGATTTTTCTTTCCCGAGGAAGAGCAGGGGGTGAAAAACCAGACAAGGTCTCTGCCAGGTCACATCTTTTTCCTTTCCTCCCGCTCGCTCGTAAGATTGAGCGGAGCAAAAGAAAAACAAGCAAACAGTAAAAGCAAGTACCCAGCAATTAAATCACCACAATAAAATAACAGCAGACACGCAGGAGCTTGTGAAGGCAGCAGCCCTTTCGTGTGAGCCCACTTTCCCACTAAAGCCTGGGCTATCATCCCCCTTCGTTAAAATTCATCACTCAAGCAGCAGTGCTTTACAGAACATCTTTTGTTAACTACAGTTCTCATCAT